CCCTAAACCCTAAACCCTAAACCCTAAACCCTAAACCCTAAACCCTAAACCCTAAACCCTTGCTGCAGGGCCGCGGGCACGAGTCCGACGTGAGGATTCCAGATGTTTCCATTTCGAGATATCATGCAACAATAAGATTTGTGGAAGGAGTTTTCGTTTTGGAAGACAACAACAGCAAGTTCGGAACCCTCGTGTCTCTGCGCAAGGCCTTCGCTGTCGGAGACGCAGGTCAAACCCTAAACCCTAAACCCTAAACCCTAAACCCTAAGCCCTAGGCCCTGGGCCTGCAGCGGGGACACCGGCGAGCCGGGGACCCAAACCCTAAACCCTAAACGCCGGTTCCGCGGGCTGCCGAGCAGCAGCGGGGGCGGGAGTGAGGGGCTGCTCCAAACCCTAAACCCTAAACCCTAAACCCTAAACCCTAAACCCTAAACCCGCGCAAACGCGAGGGCGACACTGCACCAGCGCCCCCCGGCACGCCGTACGCACTAAACCCTAAACCCTAAACCCTAAACCCTCGGGCGGTGGCGGGCGTCAAGCAGGGTTTGGCGCAGGAGGGAGGGGATCCACGAAACCCTAAACCCTAAACCCTAAACCCTAAACCCTAAACCCTAGCCGCTCTGCGGGTTTCGCGTTTGGGGCCCCCGGCTCGTGGCGCGCTGGGGTCTTCAGAAAGCGCGTTCAACCCGAAACACCTAAAACCCTAAATGGTTGTTTATTTATTTATTTATTTATTTATTTATTTATTTATTTATTTATTTATTTATTTATTTATTTATTTATTATATTCTTCGCTGCTGCAGTCACCGCCGTGCAAATTGGCCGCAGCGTCTTAAAGCTCTCGCTGAGCTCTTCGCCGGCGGGCGCGGCGGCGGTGGTGCAGATTTTTGATTCTTCAGTTCCGAGTTTTCGTGAGTTTAAATAAATAAATAAATAAATAAATAAATAAATAAATAAATAAATAAATAAATAAATTTAATTAATTATTTATTTATTTCCTCCGTTTTAATGCATGGGTTCCGTTCTATTCGTCAAGCCCGCTTTTTCCGGATCCAGCGGACCCCTTTGGAGCTAGGGTTTAGGGTTTAGGGTTTAGGGTTTAGGGTTTAGGGTTTAGGGTTTGGCGCTTTGCTGCAGCCGAGGTTGGTGATCGCCCCAGTGGACAGCAGGGAACGGCGGATGCAGAGCAGCAGGACCAGCAACAGCAGCAGCAACAGCAGCAGCAGCAACAGCAGCAGCAGCAACAGCAGCAGCAGCAACAGCAGCTGCAGCAGGAACAAGAGCGACAACAACAGCAGCAACAGCAGCAGCAGCAACCGCAGCAGCAGCAACCGCAGCAGCAGCGAGAGCAGCAGCAGCAGCTACAGCAGCAGCTGCAGCAGCAGCAACAGCAGCAACAGCAGCAGCAACTACAACAACAGCAGCCGCCGCAGCAGCAGCGCCAGCAGCAGCAGCAGCAACAGCAGCAGCAGCAGCAGGAAAGGGCGGAGCAAGAGGAAGATGAGGAGACTCGGAGTAGCGAGCAGCGTGAGCTCCAGCAGCAGCGATTCCAGCAGCAGCAGCAGCAGTTCGAGCAGCAGCGCCTGCAGCAGCAGCAGCAGCAGCAGCAGCAGCAGGAAGAGGCCAGCATTGCGGTGCAGCAAGACCTGTTTAGCTTCGAGCAGCAGCCGCGGGATCTGCTGCAGCAGCAAATGCAAAGAGAAGCAGCAGCATGGATGCTGCAGCACTATGTACATGTGGGGCCCCACACCAGCAGCAGCAGCAGCAGCAGCAGACAAATGCCTAGTTAGTTGCTGCTTCTTTTGTAGCATTAAATGAAGTAAATAAATAATAATAAATAATTAAAATAAATAAAAACTCTCAGCTACTTGCTGGTGTTCAGGCAGCAGCAGCAGCAAGGCAAGACGGCGCCAGCAGCAGCAGCAGCAGCAGCAGCAGCAGCAGCAGCAGCAGCCAGGCCTCGCGCTTTCCCCTCATGCCGTTTTCGTCAGAGGCAGCGGCAGCAAACGCAGCGGCAGCAGCAACAGCAGCAGCAGCGGCAGCTTCGTTTCGCAGCCTAGGGGAGCAGCAGCAGCTGCAGCAGCAGCAGCAGCTGCAGCAGCAGCAGCAGCAGCTGCAGCAACACGCATGCATTTCTTCTCTTGTCCATAACGGAGGCAGCGGCGGGATCCGAGTCGATATGTTTGCTGCTGCCTCTCAAGCTGCTGCTGCTGCTGCTGCTGCTGCTGCTGCTGAGGGCGACCGCAAGAACGCAGCAGCAGCAGCAGCAGCAGCAGCAGCAGCAGCAGCACCTGGCGTCGCTGCAGCAGCAGCAGCAAACGTGTGGGGACAAAGAAGAGACAATGAAGAGATTGTTTGGAGAGAGACAGATATGGAAGTAGAAGCAGCAAGAAGCTCAAGGGGGATTTAAAGTGTCTCTTTTTGTCTCTTGTCTATTTTTATTGCTTCCCCTTTTTTTGTCTCCACTCCTGCTGCTGCTGCTGCTGCTGCTGCTGCTGCT